GTCTATATGTGGGATCCGAACCCTCGGCAGGAGCGCTGCCGCGCTTCCCAAGCGGCGCACTATCGCAGTGCGCCACTGGGCCGGCCCGGAAATGGCTTTTGTAGTTGGTATTTTCAGTATTTTGGCAGAACAGAGAATATTTAAGGGTTATGTTAAAAAAAGTTTTACTCCTTATATCTGGAACCATAAATAACACCATAGAGAGTACTTTCGTTGCCTAAATATTTAGGGATTAACACAAAAACATTAACCTGAGCCATAGTTTTGCCTATGCATAAATACTCTTGGTTTTTCAGTCTTTGGTGGACTGGTAAGTTTCCTGGAATTGGAACCGTCTGTCATCCACTTGGACCTCCTGCCTTGTCCACATCTTGCCCAGTGTGGTGGTCTCGGCTGTTAAAGAGCAAAGTATCGTCTGCATGAGTCAGCGCACTGCCGCTGTGTCTGGACTGGATTAGTGAGGTCTGGGCCTTTCCAGCCATGACCCTATTTGCTCCACCTTCAACAGTTTCTGGATTATTCTCTATTCTACTAACTCAGACTTTGATCTCTCCTCCTCTTTCTCTTTACCAAAGAATCTGATAGACATTATGGATTTTATCACTTGAGTTGATTTNGAAAAAAAAAAAAAAAAAAAAAAAAAAAAAAAAAAAAAAAAAAAGAAATACTTTTCCCACAAGGGGACTGATTTTGCAAAGAACAAAGATTAGATGATGACAACCAATCAAGCAAGTGGGACGAATGATTGAGGGCTGCTTAGCAGGGGTCTGAAATGTGATTAGAGGTCATTCCACAGGACCTCTGAAATTCTTTAATAGGATATTTAAGAAGATTCAGTCTTTCTCTCATGAAGAGACACCCTCAGGGGTATTGCACATACACCTCAATTTCTTTTGCCAACTGCTGAGAATATTTAAAATATTTTGTTAATGTCACGGGCCTCTACAGCGAGAGTTTGTTNGTGGCAAGGGTATTGCCACTGTCACCTCCTTCCTCCATTACCCATCCTAAAAATCTGCTGCCCAGGTGGCCTTTACATGGCAGCCAAAGAGACTGAGTCCTCAGGAAAATAGGAATAAAAGGTCATGTATTTTAGGCAGGCAAGATGTTATAATCTCCTTCTAGTAATGAAACGATTGGTGTTTGGCCCTTGTGGAATGAAGCAAAAAAAGATGTTGAGAAGGTTTCTATTTACATGAACAGATCCTTTCCATTGACAGGACAAATCTGGAAATAATTGCATGTGCTGAGAATGGTTCCTTCTTCATACAATTCCTTTTTACAAAACAATTTTATTTGCATGTCTTGATTTTTAAGTTCATTTGATGTCTCTTTAAAAAGGCTCTATTTTTCCCCCTTATTTGTTGAGGATGGTAAAATTGGGACAAATACATGATAAAAATAAGAAATAGTGACCAAGTTTCTTAGTATGTCTTTTTTCTGAATGTACCATNTTTATTTGCATGTCTTGATTTTTAAGTTCATTTGATGTCTCTTTAAAAAGGCTCTATTTTTTCCCCCTTATTTGTTGAGGATGATAAAATTGGGACAAATATATGATAAAAATAAGAAATAGTGACCAAGTTTCTTAGTATGTCTTTTTTCTGAATGTACCATAAATCTCACATCATAATGTTATATATTTATTTATTTGTGTCTAAAAAGGTAAAAAGAGAAAATTACAACTCGGGAAGAAAATGAAAGTGTCTAGATTTATAACGCTATATTTTTATTTATAGTGCCGGGTGTTAATAAGCAGGCAAGAAATGATTGATTGTTTTATTTTCCTTTCAGCGGTTTATCTCTGCAAAAGAACAATGCAGAACAAGGCCAGGCTGGAGCTCGCAGACTATGAAGCTGTAAGTACCAAGGACTAGGAGTTAAGTGCTTATGGTCATTTCAGGCACTCTGCTAACTTTCTACCTTTATGGATCTAAAAAAAAAATCAGGGCCGGCCCGGTGGCGCACTGGAGAGTGC